TTTTTTTTTTTTTTTTTTTTTTGGCTTAGAATTTGAAAATTAATATCAAAATAGGGAGTAGTTTCGAATAGGAAGAAACTTCGAGCTTTAAAATAAGATCAAACTTTAAGACAAACGTTTAGGAAGAAAGTACTAAAATGCAAAAAAATTTACCAAAACAAAAAGAGGAATTGACGGAGAAGGTGCGTAACAGAGCTTTCCTCAAGGGAGAAGTTTCGAATAGGAATCGAAAGGCGAGTGCGGCCTTCACTTTCAAGAAATGACTGATTTCACTTGGTAAAGCTCCTTCGCTCACTCACCTGTTCTTCGAGCACAAAACCCACCGCTGTACTTCACACAAACCACCATGTGAACCAAAGATCACTGCCGGCCTAATAATAGTTAATAAATACCTCCAAGAAGGTAGCTCAACACTCTTCTAGCAGATCATCAAGGCTAGTTACATGTCAAACCTACCTAAGTAGGTTTGCGCATATTGCGCCCAGCACGAATTACCTCATCCACCAATAGCAACTGCGACGCAATTACAGGCCTGCAAAAGTTAAGAGTGATCAAATCAATACCCCTGCTAATATGGTTATTGTCAGGAATCACAGCTCTCTATAATAGTATGATATTGTCCACTTTGAACATAATCTCTTGAGGCTTTGCTTTGGGTTTTCCCAAAAGGCCTCATTCCAATAGAGATGTATTCCTTACCTATAAACCTATGATCATTCCCTAAATTAGCCAATGTGAGACTCTCTCCCAACAATCTTCAACAGTCATTTATATGACTAGAAGGGAAAATCTCTCCCAACAATCTTCAACAGTCATTTATATGACTAGAAGGGAAAAAATGGCATAAAACCGTTAGACCTATCGTCGACGGTATCTGCCAGTTATATGGCAAAAGACTAGAAAGCTAGAAATAATGACAACTTCTGTATCACATTTGTTATTGACTCTAGAGCTTGGGAAGAACTTCAGAAGAACAGAGGAGTAAATGAGGCATGTACCCAGAATTGATAAGTTGGCGTTTCACTGTGTAGTTATCAAAGATGCCCTCCATTTGGGGGTCGATTGGTTCTCCTGTATGCTGGTTTAGCCCGACACTATTGCCCCGGTCATGCGCTCCCTGGATTCAAATCGAAAGGAAGAGTTGGCATATCGTAACAGCCTCAGAGGAGGGACATGGTAGAATTATATGACAAAGCACGGTGGGGGGGTTTTAGGGACACTATACCTTAAGAGCAATGAGCACATCCTGAGTGTCAAGCCCAGAGTTCTCAGCAAGTGTCTTGGGAATCACAAGAAGGGCATCAGCAAAAGCTTCGACGCCAAGTTGAGCGCGCTGTAATAATGGTTGAGAAGGTCAATAGAATGAGATAAATGAAAAGTATGCTAAAGGATGCTGGAAAATACTTCTAGGGAAACTTACTCCTTGAACTGTTTTCTTCACTTCGTTTATCAAATGTTGTCTGGCAGCAACCTCAAAGGATCCGGCACCCTGAAAGTTCCACCAGTCATATCTTAAGACTGCAAGAAAATCTCAAACATTGGTAGCCAAATGTAGATTGAAAATCTCAAACATCACGCTATTTCCTAGTTAAATCATTACACAAACTTGGTTCCTCTATTGTATTCATAGGGTCAAGGAGCAAAACAAATTGTAGTGTAGTGTATCATAACTGAAGCGGCAAGGCTATCGGGAGGACGAGAAGGAAAAAACATATTTTTTTTCTATTTGTGGATAAGAAATCATGTGAATAGCCAAATGTGGAAGTAAGAAAGTCAAATGCTCAACATTGGTTATTGTATCCAGGAAGTTATAGAGAGCAGTCTCTTAAGTTGCCTTGAGGATGTTGTTTTTCGTCGTCATTTTCTCGGACATTTTAGTCAAATGACGCACCCTTACATCTCGAGTTACAGCAGAGACTAATAATTCTATTGACACAAATTGCACATCCATTTTCAGTTGCATGTCTAATTACAGCCAGAAAATATAACCTTACCATGACAACGGATTCATCCTCGATGGTGTTTTTAACAGATCTAAGACCATCACGGACAGCATCCTTAATTTGAGCGATCGTGTGGTCATTAGGTCCTGCACCATCATGGATACCAATGAGAAAAAAGACTATAATTGATTACTAAGATTTTGCATGAATGAGGATTGAAGTTTCAGTAAGTACCCTTGATCAAGATTGTACACGAATGGGGATTCTTCACATTTTCCACAAATGTATATTTCTCTTCCCCAAGAACATGTTCATAAACCAGTCCAGCCCATCCAAGGCAATCAGGAGTAAGATTTTCAACAGAATTTATAGCCTCTCCTCCACAGGCCAAAACCAACCTTTCCATGTTTCTTCTCTTGGCTCTACGAAGGGCAATTATCTACAGTAGATCCATAGCATGTATGAAAAAAATGAATATAAGTTGACAGATAAATGGTGGTCAACCCAAGATTTCATGCCCCCTTCATCACATAAATTGTAATGGTTATTAATCATGCAACACTTGTAATACATGAAATAGAATAACATATAATTTACAATGCAATATGTTTTTTTTATAGTAACTTAGGACAGACGAAAAGCAAAGATACATTTATAAGAATATATTGTTCAAAAGACATTCAAATATTGATGTACATCTCAATCACTTTCGAATAAAAGAAAAAAGAGTTCGATAGCAATATTTAAACATGTTATTCAAAAGAAAAAATAATAAAAACATTGTACTCCTGACAAGTTGAACAAATTGATTACATGTTTCTAATGACTTTTAAAGTGAAAGTCTTAAAGAAAATCAAATATCATATGACCATTTTTCCAAATATTTTCAAAGTCACATGAGAAACAAATTTCTTGTACAAGCATGAGAAACAAATTTCTTGTACAAGCATGAGAAACAGATTTCAAAGTCAAATTTGTCAGAAACCATCATACGTTAAGAAAATATCGTACTTATAATCCAAAACATATTACTTCTAGAGATATCTTTGGGAAATCATTGGACTTTTGTTATCAACTTTTTTAAAGGATAACATACTGAAATTGTGTTTCCTCAGCTATACACCGATGGATTGGTCCAAATGGACATATTTTTTTACAACACATTTCATTCGTAATGGTGATGGGATTGGCTTTTAAAGTTCATCAGCCTTTCAAGGTGCTACAATAAGTCTTTTCATGATGAGGCTTAAACATCATTTCACACCGAATGTATCAAGGGATGAAAGAAAAAACAATTACCAAGGCAACTTCAAGAAATACAGCCTTACCCCTTCCCTTGCGAGCATATCCAAAGATGGGGGATCAATTCCTTTTTGATTTATGATAACAAAGTTGTTGTCATTACCTGCACAAACCTGCATATGACAAGAATATAAGACAACAATTAAAAAGTGCAAATGGTTTTAATAACTAACATGCATGACATTAACGTTCTTACCTTGTTTTTCAATTCAATGATTTTCTTAACTCTTTCATCAACCTGACGCCTTTCAGCAGCAACCATGGCTTCCCTCTGTTCCGCATTAGAGTAGAAAAATCCAGCATTGATTTCACTGAGAGAAAAGCCATCAATTTATCAATGTTCACAATACATTATTAGTGATATAAGGCTATAAATGAATGTGATCCACATTTCATATTCAGGATAACTAGTTTAATTCAACCCACCAATGCCATAGTACATCAGACCTGGGGCAGCAATATAGAAACATGCATTTATTCTACATTTAGGAATGCAGAAACAACACGAAACATGGATTCAACATTACAAGTAACATATTTATCCAACTATGGAGATATAGAAATTAAAGAAAAACTCATCAATACCTTTTGTCATATTCCAGAGAAACGTTGCTGGTTAAAATAAAACAATTCTCAGCCCTCCGTTTCATATCAGGATGTCTAGAGCCGTGATCAAGGACAAGACCTTCAACCTAGTGAATGATGATCAGAGAATTGAGAAATATTAAAGTAT